TTGATTGATTGATTGATTGATTGATTGATTGATTGATTGATTGATTGATTGTGCTTTTGACAAGTAATTTGTCATTGCTCTAAAAAGGTTACAACATGTTGTGACTTGTTGATTGTAGAAGAAATGCTCAATGTTTCCTTATTATATTTTATAATTTGGACCATGTGAAGGATGTAGAGCATTTTGCTATTTTATTCACCTTCATTTGACATGCAGCTAACCTGTGAAAAATTGCAGCAGATAATTTAGTCATTAACTTACTGTTACAAAATCTTCAGGGTTATCCTGTTTTGCCTTCACCTGGAGAATCTTCAACCCCAGAAAAACAGATTGCCGCCTGGTGTTGCAGGTACAACACTCTTAACATCAATTAAAAACCTTACAGGAGGATAGCTATGTTGCTGTCTCTTAACGATTATCTGATGGCTTTCACTTAAACTAGAAAATCAAATTGAAAGAACTATGAAATGCAAAGTTGCCAACTGCAAGTACATGTAAGAGTTTCAGATTGAGTTAGCGTTTTACTTCCTCAATTCCATGCTGCTGGCCTCAGCTTGTTATTCCTGCTATGCGGGCAGCATTTTGGAGTGTCCATTAGAATAGCTTTGGGATGTTGACATACGGTATGTAAAAAAATGTTGAATTTCAAGAAAAGGGAAATGAGGCAGGGTGCTAAGACAAATAAAATACTGTTCTTTAAAATCAAACCGTCGTTCAATGATGAACCTGTAACGTTTCTTAAAATTATGTTTAAAATGATAACTCTCTTTTCAAGTGACATTTTGTAACGTGCAGTAACGCTGTTTATGTTTTTTTTCTCCCAAGTACCACCCCTCAGTCAGCTCAGTGTGGCATCAGCCGAATCTGGGTCCACAGTCAGTACAGGCGGAAGAAGGTTGCAACTCGATTGCTCGATTGTGTTAGGTGAGAAGTCAGGGATTATGCTTGAATTAGCCTGCGTAGCCGACGTCCCTTTCCGTTTTCCAGGTGGGGAGATCGAGCAAGCGAGCGAGCAAACGAGCGCGCCTGGGGTGAGCAAAAAATGGGGAGAAGTGGAGAGGAGGTGAGAAAAAAAAAAGGAGGAGAAGGGGGAGAGGGATAGGAAGGAAAGGGTTTTACCCCACCGCACTCGCTCGCAGTATTGTTCCCTTCGTTTGCTTTTGGAAATGAACGTCTGTTACACAGGCCATGCTTGAATAGGTACTGATTGAACACAACATCAACACCCCGACTGGGTTTGAAGCTCGGGCTTTCCATCTGTACTGAATGAAATATATCCTCTTTCATTTTTTTCCAGGATGAACTTCATTTACGGCTGTATTATTCCCAGAGAACTTGTCGCGTTTTCAGATCCCACACCAGACGGCAAGCGGCTTGCTAAAAGTTACGCCGGCACCTCACAGTTCCTTGTGTTCAGATAGCTTTGCACTGGTTGCATTTCAAATGCCTGATTCGTGAAGCTTGGAAATGTCCCCGAATGTACATCATTGTACTTTGTATTACCGTGTAAACGGTGTTCAGTCTTGGAGACAACTTTCGTTTTCGCTAAATCTTCGCAGGAGCACTGTCTAGCTTCGGAATCCTATTCTTTACTTGAAATCTAGTACGAACCTTCCGTTTCGTCGGAAAATTAGGCTGATTTAGCAAGAGAACGGGAACGTCTCTTGACGACGGCGCGCGCAGTACCAATACCCAAATATGTCATATTTGGGTATTTATACTGCGCGCGCCGTCGTCAAGTGACGTTCCCGTTCTCTTGCTAAATCAGCCTATTGTTAAGTTAGCGCATTGACTTCCAAGCTACGGCCACGAGTTGATACAGCGATCAAACGACAAAAACCTCAAAGCTGCCTCTGGTTTCGTTCGTAAGAAGTCGGACAAAAACTGTAGCGACGAAATAAAAGAGATCTTTTGGGTTCAAAGTAAAGAATTTCAAATGCGAGACAAATGTACATTTGGCCGTGACAGTTTTGGCGGGAAATGCACGCGCGCGGTGCATTTGACAGCCTCGTTCCCAGGGTTCTCTCTCTCTATCGAGAAAAAGAGAGGACCCTCGTAGGAACGAGGTTGTGCATTTGACCGTCGGGGCTCCGTCGGATTAGTTTTGTCATGTTGCTCAGCGACGTCTCTGACGAACACTAGCAATTTTTCGGATTTAAACATTGTTTACAGACTGCTCAGTAAATCAAACAAAAATGACTTTATTAAACAGTAAATATTTTTGGCCAGTTGTCCACTGCGGCGTATTTTCCATTTCTGTGTATCGTTTCGTGGGCAAAGTATTTTTGTAACGCTTAAAGGAAGTAATAAAATATGTTTTCAATATGTGCGGGTTTTTACTTTGACCTTTTTTCGTCTGAAAAATTCCTTATAGTAACTTCGTTCAAGTTATTTTGCCGAGGGACTGTTTAAATTTTGTCCTTCAATATAATGATGAAAGTTTCTAAGAGGGAATTAATACAGGTGAATTTTTAACGAAATTGAATGAAGTTTTCAAAGTAATGAAATAGGAAAAAAGTTATACGATTTAAAGCAAAAAAACCCGCGTGTGAGAACCTACATTTTTGAAGTCTGGTAAAATAGGTTCTTGTATTTTGGGGTAGTTCTTGTCAATTTAGGCTAAGTAGGTTCTTAATTGGTATAGGTAATCTTGTGAATGCGAGTGCAATTGAGGATCTGCATTACTCGTAACATTTGAAAATTCTGTAAAAATTGCACGAGCCTTTAGGTGAGTGCAATTCAAATATCACGAGTAGTGTAATATCCTTAATTGCTCGAGTTTTCATATGATTACTCATCATCGGACAGAATGCGTGGCCATTTATTATTCATAATTCACGAAAGCGGCAAATGTGAATGCGAGAGCGCTCACAATTAGAGAAGAAAGGGCTCAAATTGGTCAAGTAGCGTTGATAAAAACTGCTTTATTGCTTTATAGTTAATTCTTAATTTATCGTTAATTCTTAATTTACACTGAAGTGAAAATTAACGCGCGCCCGTTTGCAATTTTCTCAGTCATGTAATATATACGATATGTAATGTATATTACATGACTGACAAAATTGCAAACGCGCGCGCGTTAATTTGCGCTTCAGTGCAAATTAAGAATTAACGATAAATTGGCTTTCTCTCAGCCAATCACAATAAAGTAATTTTCTCAGTCATATAATAAAGTTCATAATTTCTATAAAGCATTAAAATGACAAATTTCTGCCAGCAGGCTTTTAAACCACTAGGTTCTCACACACTGGTTTTTACTGTATCGTACCAATAAACCACGCGACTTATTTAAAGATCGGTTGAAACGTTTGTAATCATTCGTGTTCGGTTCGTTGTTAGTATCAAGTCTCTTTCCAGTCCTTGTAACATTCCACGAGGGTTATTGATCTGTTAGATTACATAAGGTTTACGGCTAAAGAGAAGTACGAGATTTAACCTACTTCAGTTTTGTTTGAGAATCCTGTTTTATTCCAACATAGTTTACATTTGTCACCTTTTCATTTTTACTCCTTACTGTTAATGTAAAATTTGCACAACCGGAATTGACATTATACCTTTGTTATGTTAGGTGACGCGTACATTTTTCTGCAAATCGGGTTCTAAGTTATTCTGTGATTACACCTCTTGTGCAATACGGTTTTTTCTATCAAATGGAATCGGTCTTCCCTCGCAAATTTAATTTAAAGAATAACACAGTACCGGCAAGGAAAACACGTGACACGAGCACCTTCTTTCGCCTCGTCCAAGCCCTCCTCTGTTGTGTACCTGATGTGAGGTTTCTCTGGGTCTAATAACGGAAGATGATCCTGAAAATCGCTGTCCACAGTTTCTCTTTCTAAAATAAATAAAAGTAACATGGTTGAGTTCGGACCTCTGCTTAATCTGTTCTGTATACATCATAGAAAACGCATAACCAAGTGAGGAGCCAAGAAAGTGAAAATGAAGGAGGGATGCATTTTTTCAACTGAGCCATAGAGAATAGTCAGCATGCTAATCATATATTGTTCCCAGATCTCTTGTTGCCGAGGCTAGAGGCCTTAAAGGAGCTACGGTTTGCGCATCTTGAAAAGTTTAGCCTAAAGTTTTTCAAGTTCGTCGCTTGTAATCCGTGTCAATGTTCTCCATTCTTAACCACCCTTTTCCCTTTATGGTTTATTATTATTTCTTTGTTTTTTTTTTGTGCGTGTGTGTTTTTTTTTTCTAACCCTAGTGAACTATTATTCTCAGCTTTCCTTCAATTTAAAGGTAATTTTGTACATAGCCAAAAGCCCAAAATACCGTGACTGAGCTCCTTCAAGAGGTCTGGCAAAGAAATTAATATGCAGCATCTTGTAATAAGGAGAATTTGAATGTTGCTATCTGATCAGAGAGTGAATTGACCTACAGTTTCTCACTACCTTCCACGACGTCGTCCCATATCCAGTAGTTCTTCACATCAAGCCGGCCCGAGGGACTGCCCGCCAAATCCCTTCTCTGTACAGAGACAACTCCCGTGTCTGGCACCGTGAGATAGCCACTGGTATCTCCCGTAGCGTCTGACATCTGTGCATCAACTGCATTACACTCAGCTCCTTCGGGCGACAGCCTCCTGATAGGCTTCTTTGCCGCGTTGTCACAACTGCCAGCTGCTGAATTCTCAGTTCCTTTCGTGGTGGGAAGTGTCGGCCCCTTGCTGATGGTACTGTTTGCGTTGACAGCTTCCGGGTTTTGGAGATCGACATAAATCTCAGACTGATTGGCTTTGGAGGGTTCAACACTAAGGTTGGTTTCTTTTGATGACAGTGAATCTGAAACTAAATGCATTTCATCCATGGGGTTAGATCAGGAATCATAATCAAGGATGACTTTTTGCTCAACAACAACATGACTTGCTCTTGACTTTTGACGTAATTAACAGTGAAGAAAGCCGTCTAAGGAACCGACAATTATTTTTTGAGGAGCGCCGGGGGGGGGGGG